ACACAACATCGATGAAGACATTTATATACCCAAAAGCCATTTTAGGAGGTAAATAAAGCTGAGAAAATGGGGAAGAAATCCAATTTCTCATAACTAAAACGCCCCTTCATTGTATTTATTTTGGATATTAATATATAGGTCATCCCAAGCACCCTAACATTGTTAGGGTAAGATCTTGGAAACTCTTACTACCATACCTCAGCGTGAATGGACTCTAATGGGGAAAAAAAAGGAACTATCACTGAATAGGATTCATTGAACATTTAGTTAAAAGTTGATGTCTAGAGATAGATTTCAATAATTTATACATATCAATCAAAGAAATTTATGAAAAATTGAATATATATAGCAAGAAAAAAACATGAAGGGAATAGCAAAATCAGATAATCATCCCATACAACTCGTGCAATTGTCTCGAATTTTACATATTATTAGTAAATCATTAACTATTGGTTTCTGTAAGTTGAACATGGCAATGCAAATGTTGTAATAATGACAGATTTTCAGTGTACCTCTCTCTATATATATATGGAAATAAATATAGTATATATAAAGACATAAGAATGACTTACTGTACCCCACTATCTGCAAAGCTGGAAATAGAATGAATACTTTGTCTCTTCCATGATCCTCTCACTGTGCAACAATTCTTTCGTGGTTAAGAACTATTGCTTTCTTTGCTACCAATTTCCGGCAGTCGGACAGTTTGATTGGCATTTGACCCGAAAGATTTCATCGGAGAGCTAATCAAATGAAGGGTTGGCATCAATGAATTTTGTTGCTGGAAGTGATTAACTTGTCTCAACTCACTCTCCATTGATGCGGTCATAAACGAAGGGATTAATGGAGGGAAATTTAACAACGGTACAGTTGTCACAGATGGGTAGGAATATAGTTGAGAGCTTAAAGGTAAAGCCATGGAAGATGGTGCAGAAATATTGTTGTGGGATTCTTCAGCTCCAAATTGAGATAAAGACAAGTTTGAATTAGTATCCCAATTAAAGTAGGAATTATTTATCGAAGGTGTAGGAAAACGAGATTGATAATTTCCTAGTGGGAATAAATTCTGTGCCAAATATCCTCCAAAACCCTCTTGATTTTCTTGATTCTGCTGTACCCTTTCAACATGGTTACAGACATTCTTGATCCCTAATTCTTCCTTGCAAGGGAAAAATGCGTGATTGATTCCTAAATCCTTTGCGTAAGATTGATTTGCATCCGAAAATTGGGAAAGCCCGGATGACAGATGATCACCAGGAAATTGGCTGAAAGTCATTCCTGTAGGCATCAAAAGAGGGGGAAGTTTATCGATTTCGTGTTTAGTTGCATCGAGGAGCCAATCTATAACTTTACTAGGCTGGCTTAGTCCAAGCTTGTCCTGAAGTTCATACAATTGAATTGCAGTAGGAACTGAAAGCCTAATTCGTCGGTCTCTCAATCCCCTCAAAGTACGCACTTTGCTATGCCTGTCTTTGCCTCCAAAATTACGTGAGACGCGTACAATTCTTGGATTTTTTAAGGTTGATGACCACTGTCTTGATGAAGAAGATGGGATCTTTGAAAATTTGCTGGAAATATTGGCATCGTCTTCTTGCTTTGCTCGAAAATCTTTTTCTGATCTTGAGTTCATGATCATATGATTGTTTGCTTCATTATTGACATGCAAGATCTAAATTAAACTGATCGTGAAATTGAAAAATGTGAATTTTGCTTTATTGTTCTCGTAAATATTGGGATTAGGGCTTAATTCGTGACAACATATAAGATGTAAATTTCAACATATTTTACATCTGATATTGAGGTTTTCATCTTGTTTTCCTGCAACTTTCATCCTCTAATTCTAGAACCCGATACGATTATTACCCTTAAGTGATGATTTGTTACAGAAAAATATGAGAGATGGGAAATTCAATGTGTTTCAGGAAAAACAACTTAAATGGTAACAGATTAAAAATCATGCGGTAAACAAATTATATGCTAACGACGCAAAAATTATACGGTAACTATAAAACTTAAACCTTTTCAAGATTAGGGATTTGGCAGTGCAATTAGGTTTTGGAAAATAGTACGAAATTAAATAAAACACCATTTATAGTCAAATCTGAGAGGAGATGATCATATTCTTTTTGGAGAATTTCATGAAGGGAAATAAAAAATTCTATTGTCACCAAAAATGAGAAATTAGAAAAGATCACAAAAGGAACTTACAGTTCTAGTTATGTCACTGCAAGCATATCCAGGAAGATGGCAAAAGAACTGCTCTTTCAATAATGAACTTCAATTTCCATCAAAATAAGCTGTGGAAAGAAAGAAAAAACTTGATATGAAACTTTCATTTTTCTCAAAAGTAATTAATAAACTTGCTAAATAAGTATCAAGTTGCAGAAATAAGAAATGATAGAATATTACCACATGAAAGTGAAGGGAAGGGAAGGCTATGGCGTATTCGCCTCCAAGTGGCCTCTAGTAAATTTACTTGAAATATTGTCAAAATAATGAACAAATGAGCAAGGTCATCATCTCATTATATTTACATTACTAGCAATTTCTAATAAATGATTCTTAAGTTAGAATGATAATTATTGTAAACACATGCAAAGAATTATGAAAGTGAGAAGGAAAATTAATTAGATAAGTTCCAGTTGCAAAGTTGTGGTGGATGAGATGATTGATATCAATAGAGAAGGGACCAATGTAGGGTTCTTTAAAGCTTCTGCTTAGTACACAGATAAGGAGCACACAAAACTTTGCAGTGAGATTGCAAAAAGCAACTTGTACCATGGAATTTTTCCTAGGAAATTATATGAAATAATTAATAGACATTATCATCTCATTTTATTTTCTTTTTTAATTACTAAGATGTATGTTATCTAGAAATTAAGATGTAAATTCCGTGTAATGAATTTTGTTCCATGCACTATATATATAACTTTAAAAGATAAAATTACTGCCAAATTAGCTAGACGAAGTAAAGGAATTTTAAGTAAAAATAAGCTAATATAAATCTCCTTGTATCTACAGGCAAAGAAATGATGTTAGTGTTTACAATGCAACATCAACCAGACTTTGACTCGTGAAGTATATAGTATGTTGTCTCATTCATATTACACATTCAGTATTTCTAAAATTTATTGGATTATCTTTAAAATATTATCTATTACAAGATGATTGAACATCTAATTATTTTCTGTATTTATTAGAAGAATTAATTTCAAATAAGATTATGATAGACATTTACTAGTTCTCTTTTTTCCTTTAAATCTGAAACAACAAATTATGAGGTTTCGTACTAAAATTTAGCAGTTTATTGAAAATGAACGTGAAAGTAAATAGTACTCTAGAGGAAACTGTAAACAAAGATCTCCAAAATACGAAGAGATGATGAAGAAAATGCAATAAACTGTTTCTGGTGTTTATATTTTGACAAGATTTTGTTGGCGTTACTAGTTGAAAATCGTAGTCAATATTTACCCTAATATGATGGTTTTTTCTTGTAGTGATGAGATTAGATGGTTTAATATGTTTTGTATAGGATAATTTTGGAGGTAAAAAATAATTGGCTTTTTGTTTGAAGTTAGTAGTATGGAAGATTTTGATAGAAAGTAATTTAGTAGACAAAGTGGGTAGGAGAAAGGAACTTTATTAGAATGACAATGATTTTTGCTTACAATGGCTTTTTTTTGCTTACCTAAAAATGAGACTCATGCCCTATTTATAGACCATAGTTTACATATAATTTCTTCTAGATAATTCTACATGTGTCTACAAACCTCACAAACTTTCTTGGTGCCCAAGTTTCTCTAGGAAATTCTAGATAATTCTGATTTTTTATTATTCTTGCTTGCCAAATAATTCTAGGATATTCTTGCCAAGCAATTCTAGGATCTTCTACAAATTTCCTAAAATATGCATCAACCATCAAAACTCCTCTTTGATGCATATTTTGGTAACTCCAATCATTTCTCGTAGTATTTCGAACTTTGCTCGTGATATCGCCTTTGTAAATATATCTGCTAATTGTTCTTCAATCTTGCAATGTTTGAGCTCTATCTCTTTATTTGTTTCAGCTTCTCTGATGAAAAAGGTACTTGATGCTAATGTGTTTGGTTCTACTGTAAATACGGGAGTCTTGGCCATTGGTATTGCTGACTTACTGTCGCAATAGATCTTTGTTGCTTCATGGTTCTCCCATGTCTTCGAGTATACGTTTTAACCATATAGCTTGACTCGTTACCATTGCTGATGCAATATACTCTGCTTCAGCTGATGATTGTGCAACCGTTGCCTGTTTCTTTGATGCCCAAAAGAATATTTCGGAACCTAGTGTGAATGTATAGCCTGATGTGCTCTTCATATCATCTACTGATCCTGTTCAATCGCTATCAGTATACCTAAGTAGTCTTGAGTTAGGCATAGACTGATACCTTATTCCATAATCTTTTGTACATTGGAGGTATCTTAGTGTTCGCTTAGCGGCTCCATAGTGAACTTGACTTGGATTTTGCATGAATCTTAAAAGTAAGCTGGTTGCATACATTATGTCTGGCCTTGTAGCTGTGAGATAGAGTAAACTTCCAATTAAGCTTTGAAATTGTGAACTGTCTGTTTTTGGAGTACCGTCTTCTTTTCTAAGTGATTTGTTGTTATCCAGAGGTGTTGCTACTGTTTTGCAACCTTCCATCTTGAATTTCTTTAATAGACCGGTGGTATACTTCTTCTGAGCAATGAAGATCCCATCTTCAAATTGAGCTATCTCGATCCCAAGAAAATAGTGCATTAATCCCAGATCAGTTATCTCGAACGTTTTCATCATATCTTCCTTGAATTTCTTGATCGTCTTTTCATCATTCCCTATATAGATGAGATCATCAACATATAAAGAGATTATATAAGTGTACTGTTTGTACCTTAATTTTTGATGTATAGAGTTGGTTCACTTTGGCTCCTCCTGAATCCTTGCTCAGTGAAGTAATTGTCTATTCTGCTATACCACGCTCGTGGAGCTTGTTTTAGTCCGTATAGGGCCTTCTTTAATTTCAAAACTTTATCTTCTTTTCCTCGCACCATGTACTCTTGAGGTTGCTCTATATAAATTTCTTTTTCAAGATAACCATTTAGAAGTGCTAATTTGACGTCTAGCTCGTAAGTCTTCCACTTTTTCTGTGCAGCTAGTGCAAGCAACGCCCTTATAGTGTCAAGACATACATCTGGAGCAAATGTCTTAGTGTAGTCGATGCCAAAATGTTGTGAGTATCCTTTGGCAACTAGCCTTGCTTTATGTTTTTGGATTAAGCCACAGCATTAAGCTTTGTCTCGTAGACCCACTTAACTCCTATGACTTCTTTGTCTTGAGGAAGATCTACAAGTTCTCAAGTGTTGTTTTTCTCGATCATTTTTATTTCTTCATCCATAGCATTTCTCCATTCTGGTTGTTTTCAAGCTGCTTCATAACTTTCAGGTTCAACGATCATCAAGTTGCAGCTTTGATATATTTTCGATAATCTTCGTGTCTTTCTTGGTGACGATTCTGGTGAGTCAACTGGCTCTTCTATTGTTACTTGATGTGGGGACTTTGGTTGATTGTTCTCCTCAACATCACCCTCCTACTTTTCTGGTTGTGTAAAGAGGCTGATAGCTTTTCTCTCGACTTGACCAGTCTCCCAGTTATAGGTGGCATCTTCATCAAACTTAACATCTCGACTTATAATCAGCTTCTTTGTTCTTAGGTTATATACTCGATAGCCTTTTGATTGAGTACTATAACCTAAGAAGATTCATTTTTCCGTTTTTTCTTCTAGTTTACCTCTTTTCTCGTGGGTAATATATGTATAGCAGATGCAGCCAAAAACTCTGAGAAGCTTTGCAGATGGTTTTCGTCCGCTCCATGCTTCCACTGGCGTTTTGTCTTGCACAGCTTTAATTGGACATCGATTTAATAGGTAGACTGTAGTGCTTACTTCTTCTGCACAAAAAGTTTTTGGAAGACTTTTCTCCATTAGCATAGCTTTAGCTGTCTCCATTATTGTTCTATTCTTTCTTTCTGACACGCCATTTTGTTCAGGCATGTATCCAACTGTGAGTTGATGCTCCATTCCTTCGTCTTCACAAAATTTGTTGAATTCATTTAATGTATATTCTTTGCCTCTGTCGCTTCTAATAGTTTTGATATTGCAACCACTTTGCTTTTCAACATATCTTTTGAACCTTTTAAAAATCTCAAATACTAGGGATTTTTCACGTAAGAAATATACACGTCATTCTAGTGTAGTCATCAATGAAGAGAATGAAGTACCTTTTTTACTCATGTGATGGAGTACGCATCAGACTGCATGCATCTGTATGTATTAGCTCTAATGGCTTTTTAGCTCTCCAAGATTTTCCGAACGGAAATGGTTGGCGGTGTTGTTTTCCGAGTAAACATCCTTCGCAGATTGCATCAATCTCTTTTATGACTGGTAAGTCCCTCATCATGCTCTTTTGCTACAAGATCTTCAACCCGTGGAAGTGGAAATATCCAAATCTTTTGTGCCACAGCCATGAGTCGTCCACTTGTGTCATCATTGCCGCACTGTTTGCATATCTCCATTGGATTGAAAAATATATGTTCGCCCTTTTTTTTCTTTTGCAATTACAAAAGATTTATCTTTCTTGTCATAGATCGTGCAAGAATCTCCTTCAAAATGTAATGTATATCCTTTCTCCATCATCTGACTTACACTTAATAGATTTTGATTTATTGTAGGGACTAAGAGAACTTCATTGATGTATCTCTTTCCCTTTTTTGTGTCAATAACAATAGTGCCTTTACCTGTTGCCTCTATAAAATTTTCATTTCCAATCTTGATTTTTGCCTTGATTTTATCAAGATTACCGAAAATACTTTCGTCTTTCGTCATATGATTACTACAACCATAATAAAGATACCATGTATGCAGATTGTCATCAGATGTATCTTTGCTAGTGGCGTAAAATGAACTTCCTTCTATATCATTTTTTTTAGAGAAATTAGCTTGATGATTTTGTTTGGAACGACAAAATCTTTCGTCGTGACAAAATTTTTATAGTGACGACACTATGATTTTCCTTTAAATCAAAAGTCCTTCTCCAAATGACTTTTTCTTTTACATACGCCACATGAAGGATACTTGTCGCTTTTATCAAATTATCTTTCTTGAGTTTCTTTATTTTTACAATTTTCTTTAAATTTTTTTCCACATTCTTTAGATTTCTAAAACCGCATTTTAACTTTAGATTGGAATGCATTTTCCGTGTTAATCTCATAACGCCTTTCTAAAATTTTTCCATGTGTTTCTAGTAAATCCATTAATTCTGCACCTGTCAACTTATCTATATATTTTGACTCCTCAATAGCTGCAATAATTGGATCATATTTTTCTGTACAAGTAATTAAAATTTTCCCAACGACTTTCTTTTGAGGAACATCATCTCCATAAGATCTTAATTAATTTACTATTTCATCTATTCTTGAATAATAATCTTTCACGGCTTCAAAATCTTTCATTTTTAAATTTTCAAAATTTCTTCTTAAAGTTTGAAGACGGCAAGTACGTACCTTGTCACTCCCGTAAAACTCCTCCTTCAATTTATCCCAAGCTTCTTTTGTCATTTTGACTTCCATGATTCTTGGAAAATAAGTATCCGTCAAGCTCATTTGTAGAGCAAGTAGTGCTAGAGATTTTTTTTTTTATTCTCTTTAAGTTCCTTCTTTTGTGCAGTAGATAGAGTGAAAATGTCATCTGGGTTAATATAGCTATTATTGACGACATCCCATAAATTTTATGCACAAAAGTAGGTCTTCATTTTGATGGACCTAAAGTCATAGTTGTCTCCATTAAATGTTGGAATAGGGATGGATGAACGGAAAGCGTCTGCCATAATATCTGATTATGCCCAATATCAATCGAACGTAGCTCTGATACCACTGATGGTTTTTTCTTGTAATGATGAGATTAGATGGTTTAATATGTTTTGTATAGGATAATTCTGGAGGTAGAAAATAGTTGACTTTTTATTGAAAGTTAGTATTATGGAAGATTTTGATAGAAAGTAATTTAGTAGACAGAGTGGGTGGGAGAAAGGAACTTTATTAGAATGACAATAGCTTTTTTTGCTTACATACAAATGAGAGACTCATGTCCTATTTATAGACCATGGCTTACACATGATTTCTTCTATATAATTCTACATGTGTTTACAAACCTAATAAACTTTCTCAATGTCCAAGTTTCTCTAGGGAATTCTAGATAATTCTGATTTTTTATTATTTTTGCTTGTCAAGTAACTCTAAGATATTTTTGCCAAGCAATTCTAGGATCTTCTACAAAATTCCTAAAATATGCATCAACCATCAATATGATAATTAAATATTATGAAGCCTAAACAGTTGAACAAATTCTTCAATCGCGTTGCAGTAAGAGTCTACTGCAAATTGTTCAAATCATTCACTGAGCCACTAAAAGCATCACATGGCAATTAGGTATTTTAGGTTGTATCATAAAAAATAGAAAATTTATCATGTCTCCAGTTATATTTTGGCCCAGCTTCTTGGATATAATTCGCATTTATTTGCCTGAAAATAGTATTTACATGGTTTAACTGAAGCAGTGGTCCAATCCTAAATTCTTTCTCTTTTAATATTTTTGCAAAACTGTCAACTTCGACCAAAATATTGGAAGAACTGTGCCGACTCTCAAGGGCATGGGAATGCGATATAATCATTTTCCCCACAAATTTTAACACCAGTTTGACATAAATTTGTATTGTTTTTAATGATTTACACTTAGATGTTGATGAATAGCTTGTAGTTGACGTTTTTCCTATTGTGATGGACCATATCAATCTTTATGTACACATTACGAGAACGACAGATGAGCGAAGGTCGTTATTCTGAATCGTCACTCTCTTTTCTTTGTAAAATTCCATTCACACACCAAACAAGACTGACTTTTGACCAACCTACAAAGGCCCCGTAAGAGTAAACCATAGAGAAAGAGACTTATTTTGGATAGTAGTGATATCTTGAATTGCTAAACCTCAAATATGGGCGTGTTTTGTCCATTTGTGTGTAGAAAATGTTCTGTCAACTTATGCAACGCATATGAAAATGAGATAATAAAAACCCGTCGACTCTATAAATATTGGCACAATTTAGATAGCCATAGACTTGATAATTCAAGACCTTAACAACTAACTAAATCCTAAAGAGAATTATTACCAAAATAATCAAAGAAAGGTTGTGGCTGCAGCTCCTTACATATGACAGTAGCTAAACTGCAGCAATCAAAAAGGCACTGATCCCTATTCCCTACTGATATTTCTGTGTCATCTGTCATAACTCGAGAAATTTATTTATTCAGTTCATTTTGCTCCACAAAAAAAAATAAATAAATAAATAAACAAAAAATAAAAAATAAAAAATCCTTGATTATGTAAATCCCATGACTAAATATTGTTGTCCTGACGACAACTTTGAGGATACTTATGTATCAAATTGTCTTATTTCTAGTTGGATACAAGCATGCAATGAACAAAGAGAGAGAAAAAAAAAAGTGTCAAACAACTAACTTAAGAAAAAACTAGACATACTTATTTTTGCCAGAAGGTGACCTAGTGGAATTCGACTCACCCTGATGAGGCTATCTTATCAGGTATTGTAGCTCCTTTTTGTACTGCAAATGTTGGTTCTTGCCATTTCATTCCCCGCGAGGGGATAAATGGCCAATGCCGTTGCATCATCTAATTTACGGGGTTTCTAGTACTAGAACTTTGCTAAATTGTATTCCTACTTTTGCATTATCTATAGGTCGAAGCCACCTGAATCAATAAACCTGATTAGCATTTTTTTTTCTTTTTTTTTCTTTTTTTAAGAATCATCTTGGAGCATATTTATTTTCACTCTTTTAGGGTAATAAAAGGTAAGTTTACTCTGTGTTGTGTGTGCGTGTATCAGTGTGTCTGAGTACACTGTATATAGTGGAGTGAATTCAGGGTAATAAAAGGTATTGATCCCAAGGTTCGAGTTGTCGCTATATGTCAGAAAATAAAACTAGCATTCATAAATGGATCCCAAGTACCAGACAAATCCTCAGTTTTTTTTCTCGCGAATCGCACACATACCATATGGCTAGTCCTATACCAGCATTAATTAACCTGCTAGCCATACTAAAAGAACGGTCGGCCCATGCCTGGACATGTCAGTGCATACTACGAGCCGGGCATGCACCTTCAAGGGAGCCAAGCCAGCCCAAGTGGGACCGGTGCTAGGCTTTCCCAGGCCTAAGTGACCCGACATAATCTTCTGTGACGAACTCTAAGACGGTTTAGCCTTCCCAAAAGAATATGGGCTAAAGATTGGTGTGGTGAAACCAGATGCTTTCCAACTCTTTCTAACACTTGAAATCTATGAATATGATCCTATTGAATGTATTTGTAATTTCTGATATTATACCTCTAGTTAAGAAGGTAGGTTGCGAGTCATGAAATAGTTCATTCGCTCGTTAACATTTGATGGGAATTGGATAGTTTGTACCCCATTTTCATTTTGCCTCGTGTTTGCTGCTGATCTTCAAAGGAAACTTTCGTTATTGGATTTCGTAAAAAAATAAAGAAATATTGATATCATGATCACCATCATTCTTTCTCAACCACTCCAACCAATCATCATCTCATCATCTTAAATAAATACATAACTATGAGTGGGACATATGTGTGCTTCAGAAGGAGAGAGAGGGTTTGAAATTCTCAAATGCATACACCTACTAAGAATACGAAATTGTTGAAAAAAATAATAATAATTATAATAAATAAATAAATAACCAAAATATGGTAGTTGCTAGTTAGAACGATCCAAAATTCTTTATCTCAAACAGTTGTTTTTTGTAGAGACGGATTTAGGGGGGCTGGACTGTAGCCCCCCCCCCCCCCCCCCCCCCCCCCCCCCCCCCCCTTTTTTTTTTTTTTTTTTTTTTTTTTTTTTTTTTTTTTTTTTTTTTTTAAGGTTTTATTTTATTTTATTTTATTTTTTTGGTAAAAAATCAGTTTTTTTCGCGTAGTAGCCCAATTTTGGATCCGTTCCTGGTTTTTTGTGCTGAAAATTTCAAAGCCATAACGCTTATAAAGCAAGCAAAAACGTGATCCAAAACAGATATAAAAGCTTGCCACCACTAATGCAATTCCTAGCAGAAAATGTAGAAGTGCAAGTCCTAGTTCATCCCTACTTCATTCTCTGTCACACACAAATGTACTGTAAACTAGCCATTAAGATTTATCCCTTGATGGCCATTATTGTGTAAACATAATGGTTTCAAATAGTGATTTTTAAGGAGGATGACCATTATTGTGTAAAAATAATGGATTCAAATGGTGATTTCCAGAAGAATGTGTAGTTAAAAAGTAAATAAAAATTTTAGACTTACGTCCAAAATATTTTATTATGCGAATGTATGGTTAAAAATGAATAGGAAAAAAATTTGTTCTTGTTTTAAAGGGAGTCAAATGAAGACTAATAAATTATTCATAATAATATACAACTCTGGCCACGAATTATAAAAAAGTATAAAGGTGTGAGTACCTGTGCGATTAGCCGCACAAGCACGCGGTGTGTATAGGGTCCTCTTGTGCACAAGCATGTGTCGCGTTACTCACTGATTAGGATCATCAATTTTAGGGTAGTTAAAATTTAATCAAATTAATCATGTGATGTCATTTAATGCCTATTTGACAAGACGTTCGATAAGCGAAAACTACTTCTGAAATTAAAAGTCATTTTTGGATCTATTTTGATAATTTTAAAAAGCTTCTTACGATGTTTAAAAAAACAACAAACTTTTACTTAAAACTATAGCTTACTCATAAGATTCTTCTTAAAAAAAGGAAGCGAAAATTACACTATAGTCGATATTTTAAGATGATAGTTCTAAAATCGGGCATAAAGTTTACATGAGTATTGTTCGTGCGAAACCCACAAGCGTACGATATCGTTGACAAGTAATAGATTTGATGAGTTGAAAATATCGTTCTTGATGAAGTGCACAAGGGATTAGAGTTCATGGCAAAATGGGACCATCACAAGGTAAAAGGGGCAAATGATTTCATGATGACTTTGAGTTTGCTCGTTTTTGGCAAATCACTAGTCTAATTTGATTGGAGCCGAGCCAAGGAATAAAACTCAGCGCCTTCGGCCCTGACGCAAGACCAATTTCGGGCAAAATCCATCGTTTAGGCCCTCGTTTAATCGTTTTTGCTATTTATGGTAATTTTCATTTTTGCAATATCTCTTTCCATGAAATTCGGATTTAGATTCCGTTTGTTGGAGGATGATCCCGAAGATAAGTATTTTTCCATTTTAGTAATTATCTCATATTTTTCATTTTTGGAAAAAAAATATCTTTTTTTTATTTTATTTTTCAGATTCTCCTAGGTTTTTCTTCTATTTAATCAGTTGTAAGTCCTTAGAGGCAGCAGTTCTTGAATTCAATAAAATCTTCCTTGAGA